TGTAGTGACAGCAAATAATAGATACAATTTACTGAGTATTTATGAAATGCTAGTAACTGGGATAAGTTTCTAAGATATGAATTAGTACATAGGTTCTCAGAATGAGGTTTGCTGGCCCTTGGGGGTCCCTGAGAACTTATCACAGGATCCACAAATTCAAAACTATTTTTGTAATAATACTAAGATGTTATTATCCTTTTTCATTATCATTCTGTCATGAATGTATAGTGATATTTTCTAAAGGTTACAAGATAGGTGATGATGTCATAGTGTGATGGCTAATGATATGTATGCTTGTGTCTTCTTGTATACTAAAAATTCCTCAACATTAATTTCTAATAGAGTATATACCAATAGATAAAACTCAAACAAAAAGCCATTGAGGCCTTCGATACTTTTTGGAGTGTGAAGGGCTCCTGAGACCAAAAAGTTTGAGAACTATTGAATTAATTTATTTCCCCCCAAAACCCTATGAGGTTGACATGATTGTCTATGACTTACAAATGAAGAAACTGATTTTAGAAAGAATAGTCACATTGCTAGGAGGTGGCAGAACTAATATGAACACAGGTCTACCTGATGGCAATGTCTGGACTGGGTTCTGAACCATTTTGCTTAACCATTTCCAGTACTATGTCCTCAAGGGGATTTAGGTATTAGATGTTTTTAGTAAAATTACTGATAATATAATTTCTTAATCTACTTCTTTTCTTTTTTTATTTAAATTACTTGCTCATTCAAAGATAATTGATCAATTCTCAATTATTATCAAAGTTTCTTCCAAAATCAAGAATATTTTTAGAATCAAGAAGAAGAAAATTAATTGTACAAAAAAATCCCTTTTTGTCATTCTAGTCATGTTAAGAAAACTATATTTTATAGTGTGTAACCATGTTATAAAGTAAATCATTATAAAGCATATTGTAGTTTCATTTTAAAAATATATGGAGATTTTCTAGTCTTTCTCAATTTATTCTATTACTCTTGATTTTTCAAAATTGGTCCTTAAGGTCTCCTTTGATCATGTCAAATTCTTTTCTTAAAGAAAATTACAGATTAAAATACAGAGTTTTAAATTCAACCTAGTTAAGTAACATTCAAAGACTCAGGGGACTTTATAGTGAACTGGGATGAACTTCAGTCTAAAGTCATTACCTTAGTGAAGAGAAACCGAGTAACAGAAAAATGAAGTGACTTAGCTAATGTGAAATTTCTCAACAGAAGAACAAAGACCTCATTTCGAAGTCTTATCTATCCACTTTTAAATTCTACTCATTTAGGTCATCACTTATGTCTTGGTAAAGATGGAGGAAGAAAAAGTTAATGAGCATTGAAGATAAACTTACCATTTGGTGTCATCTTTTATTAAATTTCTCAAATTAAAGGACACTTCTCCTTCCTTTATTTCTCTCACGTCTCTTTCCTGATATTTGTCTATCATATATTTCAGAAAAAAAACAGTGCCATCTCATATAAATGTACCACTTTCTTATTGCAACTCAGATTGCAATTGTGATAAAAGCCATTGGGAACCAGTCTGTGGAGAGAACGGAATAATTTACATGTCACCTTGTCTAGCAGGATGCAAATCTTCAGGTAGCAATAAAAAGCCTAAAGTGAGTATTAATTTTTATTTTCTCTGCTCTCCCAAATCAAAATCACAGATTTGATCATTTTTCTATAACTGCACTATCCAGTAAAAAGATAAAAGAAAAAAATCTCCAAAAGTGTCCGTCATTGTGACAGTTGTGATGTCATATAAATAAAGCCTCGTATAAAATCCTACTTGGGACTCAAGTAGATTTTTCTGCTGCTTGAGTTCTAATCTGAGATTACCTCACTTTTATTTTTTTCCTAGAGATGGTAAAAATATGAACTTTTGGAATTTGAATGTACTTAGGGTCTCTAGGAAGCTCCTAATCTGATTGAAGGATATTATTTCCATCATGTTAGAGGTATTTTACCTTTCAGGAGTTAGGACAAAGTCCTGAGCCAACCCTTTGTCAGCACTACCTACCTTTCCAGGACAAATTTTGTATATAGATTCTGATTTATTTAACTCTGGGATTGCTACTCTTTTGACTTTTCAAGAAGTAATCAAAGCTTCAGTTTCAATACTTAACTGCTAATTTGTATTTCTCCCAAGCTGGTACTTCTCCCATCCAGGATAACTTAATATCCTGTTTGCCTAATGCTAAAGTCATCCATAGCCATCGCCATGGAGTTGATTCCGACACATAGTGACCCTACAGGACAGAGTAGAACTGCTTCATAGGGTTTCCAAGGAGTGACTAGTGGATTCAAACTACTGACCATTTTGTTAGCAGCCAAATGCTTCACGACTGCAACACCAGGGCTCTACGTCATCCATAGATTTGCCATATCTTTCTTCACACAAAGCGATAAATTTTTCCCTTCTGGACTGTAACCATTGGTCAGGACATTCTGTTATGTTGAACTTCTCTGGTAATAACATCGTTCGTCCTATAATATGTCATTATGCTCTTGGATGTTGTGTCTTTTCACCATAGTGGAGTTCCAGAAACCCTGTCTGACCCTACACTCTGTCGCATTCTACTGGATAGCTCTGGTTCCAAATTTTCGCCCCACACAGACTACCATATTTTCTGTATTCTCTGGGCCATCCCTCCATTCACAAGGCATATCTCTGACACTTACTTGGGATTGTTTAAAAGACTCAAAGTCGATGTGTTTGAGAAAGTAAGAGCTTGGGGGAGAGAAATATTAAAAAAGAATTCATATTAATGAGAAAACTACATGCATAGTTTCAGATACTTTTTAATTTCCTAAATTCTTTCATAATCAAAAAATTAGGAATGAACTAAATGTTAATAGTGAATTACATTTCCTTATCTAGAAAGGTACCTAGGAAACTATTTTGTCTTTTAACTATTTAACAAGTATACTTTTAAAAACTATGATTATTTTAGTTCAAATGGATGAGATTTGTTTAAATACAATGGAATGTATTTATGGCCTTGTCATAGTTTGAAAATGTATTCTTTAACATTTCAAAAATTATTTTTAGGCGTTTTATAACTGTAGTTGTGTGGACATAACTGGTTTCCAGAACAGAAATAACTCGGCCAATTTGGGTGAATGCCCAAGAAGTGATCACTGTATAAAAAAGTTTCACTTTTATCTAGCACTGCAAGTCTTGGGTGCTTTTACCTCTTCAGTGGGACACACACCCGGTTTAATGCTGGTTTTTAAGTGAGTATGACTTTTTAAAAGCAAATTCATGTGTATTAGACTCTAAACATACCTAACAATGTACATATTTTTCCATAATATATTTGACACCTATATTCATATGTTACTACATTTTTAATTTTCTCAGAATCCATTGTATTAGGATTATTGGGATACTTAGATACCAGAATTGATAAAAATTTTGCCTTTGATTCTTCAATTACAAAATCTAGATTCCATTCTGTCTCCTCTTACCAAGAATTTTAAGGCACAGGCTGATGGACAATTGCTTCAGTCATGAAAGCACCTCTGTATGTTTCTAAAAATCTTTTAATTTTGAGATGCCCTGCATCCTGATGGTGCTGTCAGGGTGAATCTTCTGTTGAATTTGTTGAAAGAAAATATTTGGGAACCAGACTGTATTATATAAACTTCAGTCTATATAGATATTCCAAAGTTTTTAATCCACCTTCAGAATGGCTTCTGACCTAGTCTCTTAAAATACCCTAGAAGACAAGAGATAAACATGTGAGCAGCATTTATTCATTTTTTTCAATCACTAGACAAATATTTAGACAAGATACCATGTTTGACGAAGAATATTCAGTGGTGAATAAAATGGACCTGGTATCTGTTCTCATACTGCTTGGAGTCTGATAGGAAAGACTGGCATGAAGCAAATTAAGCTTAAAAATAAACACATAGCTACAAATTATTAGTAGTATTCATCAAAAAAATAAAAAAGTGGTATTAAAAGGAATGAAAGGGAAAAGCCCATTTAAGATTCAGGTGAGGGGTTGGAAGAGGGGGCTCAGGAAGTACCTCTCAAAAGAAATGACATTCAATCTAGACATCTAGAGAATAAGTTAAAGCTAGCAAAATGAAGGTCTTTCCAGGGAGAGGGTCTAGGTTCCAATGCCCTGAGACAGGAAAGTGCTGGTGTGTTTGAGGAATAAAAGAAGCCAGTTAGCTGGATCACCTAAAACTGAAAGCATGTAAAGACTTGCATACCTGTTGCTGTCGAGTCGATTTCGACTCATAGTGATCCTATAGGACAGAGTAGAACTGCCCCATAGGGTTTACATCAGAATTTCCATCAGGATTGGAAGAAGACACAGTAACAACCTGCAATATGCAGATGACACAACCTTGCTTGCTGAACGTGGACTTGAAGCACTTACTGATGAAGATCAAAGACTGCAGTCTTCGGTGGATGGCACCTCAGCGTAAAGAAAACAAAAATCCTCACACCTGGACCAATAAGTAACATCATGCATCATGTTAAACGGAGAAAACATTGACTTTGTCAAGGATTTCATTTTCTTTGGATCCACAATCAACGCTCATGGAAGTAACAGTAAAGAAATCAAACGACGTAATGCATTGGGCAAATCTGCTGCGAAAGGCCTATTTAAAGTGTTAAAAAGCAAAGATGTTGCTTTAGGAAGTAAGGTATGCCTGATCCAAGCCATGGTGTTTGCAATCACCTCATATGCATGCGAAAGCTGCACAATGAATAAGCAAGACCAAAGAAGAACTGACACCTTTAAATTATGGTGTTGGAGAAGAATATTGAATATACCATGGACTACTGGAAGAACGAACAAATCTCTCTTGGAAGAAGTACAGCCAGAGTGCTCCTTAGAAGCAAGTATGGTGAGACTACGTCTCACATACTTTGGACATGTTATCGGGAGGGACCAGTCCCTGGAGAAGGACATCATACTTGGTAAAGTAGAGGGTCAGCAAAAAAGAGGAAGACTCTAAACGAGATGGATTGATACAGTGGCTGCAACAGTGTGTTGCATAACAAAGATTATGAGGATGGCGTGAGACTGCGTAGTGTTTCGTTCCGTTATACATAGGGTCGCTATGAGCCAGAACTGACTGGATGGCACCTAACAACAACACCATAGGGTTTCCAAGGCTGTAATCTTTACAGAAAACAGACTGCCACATCTTTCTCCCTCAGAGTGGCTGGTGGGTTAGCACTGCCCACCTTTCGGTTAGCAGCTGAGCACTTAACCACTGTGCCACCAGATCTCATTAAGACTTGCATAGGTTTTTAAAAGTATACATGTGTAAGTATGGTGATCTGGCTTAACAGCTAGTATCTGGGTAGTTGATCACAAGTTCACTAATAGCCAGAAGCATGGCATGGAGAGGGAAAAGAGCAAACGCGTTACTAGCTTTTGTTAAAACAAGAATAGATGTCAGGAATCTTGACTACAGTTATTTAAATTCTATCCTGACCCCAAATTTTGTTAAATTATTTATTCTAATTTATTCTATAGTTACAACTCACCTTCATATAGAATGTTGTCTATTCAAAAAGAGAAGTCTTTCATATTTGCCAAATTAAAAATTCACTAACTTATAGGAAATCATCTTCAAACTAGCCTCCATATCAGAAGGTTTTAGCTTCTTAATCTAAAATCTTTCAAGAGGAGAAAGAAGGTCTTAGAGATCACTGTTGCATCATTGGCAATAGATATATTTCATTTTATCTTATTAAGAAAGTGGTTAAGACCAAGTTTACTACTTGTTAAAAACATTTAATGATCTTTCATAAACTTTTAATTATATTGGAAGAAAACATTTGTGAAGCAGACTGTATAATAAAAATATAAACTTCAGTGTGTTAATGATTTTCCAACTCTTACCTCATAAGGCTATTGTTAAAACTAGACTGGGCAGGAGTGATGTTCTTCACTCATTCAGCACATAGCCATTATGTGTGTAAGGCACAGTTCTAGGCACGGAGATTGCAACTGTGGACAAAAGTGACAAAGGCCCTCTTTCATTAGTTTATATTCCAGTGGGGGTAAGGGTGGTGAGATTAGGAAGTTGATGGGTGTAGGGGAAGAAACAATAAGCAAATAAGCAAGTAAATATGAAAAATATGGGTAGTGTTAAGCACTAGGAATGGGCTCAAGGGTAACAACAATTGTGAGGATGGTGCAGGACCAGGCAGTGTTTCGTTCTGTTGTACACAGGGTCTCTATGAGTTAGAACTGATTCGATGGCACCTAACAACAACGAATAACAACAAGCACTAGGAAGAGTCCCTGGATGGTGCCAATGGTTAATGCTCTCAGATGGCTGGAGGTTCAAGTCTACCCAGAGGCACCTCAGAAGAAAGGTACAAGGATCTATTTCTGAAAAATCAGCCATTGAAAATCCAATGGAGAAGAGTTCTACTCTGACACACATGGGGTCACTGTGAGTCTGAATAGACTTGCTGGCAACTGATGGCAAGGACAACAACAGTGATACGAGAGTATGGAAATTTTTTTCTGGTTGCTTCCAGTTTTCTCTGTTCAATAAAAACCAAGGTAATCAGATGAGAGTAAGGAGGAAGGAAAGGAAGAGACTTGAGGTAAAATCATGAAATGTGAAATAGTAATCTTGGCGATTGGGAGGATAAGCTGACCAGGAAAATTCACTAGTAAGATATAATAGGATTATACTGGAGGTCCACTTGAGGTTTATGCTCATAATTTTGAAGAGTTCATTCAACATGGTTGAATGATTTTCTCCAGCAAATGCAGAGAAAGGTGCAGAAAAAGCAGAGAATTTGACGAAAGCACAGTTGAGATTCTGCTTATCTAGTGCAATAAAAGGTGCGAGGAATGAGAAAGTCCAGGCTATATGCTTAAGGAGTGATGAGAATGAGACAGCATGAGATTTAAGCCCGTCTGGTGAGGATGGAGGTGAGGGCATGAGAGCGGAGGTGGTCTGTGGAGGAGTCAATGGCCTGAATACTCCTGTGGAGTGGAGAGACCATAGAAGCTGGTGTATTAGAGGGAGTGAACTTCAAAGATAGGAGAAGGTTATGGAAGAGTGGGATTCTTAAAATCCAGAATTAAGAAAGTGTGCACTGATTGGTGTGACCATGGAGTAAGGGAAATAAGACTGTTGGAGTGATGACAAAGGCCAAGGAACTGGAAGGCCACAGCGTTGGAAGGATTGTCTACATGGATATTAAAATAACCAGGAATGGTGGCGGGAATAGTCTTGGAAAAAAAATAACAGAGACTTAGTGCTAAAATTGTCAAGGAACAATAGAGGTGGCGGTGTGCAAGTCTATAGATAACTGCAACAAAGAGTTTAGAAAATGATACATTGTGATGGTGCGCATCTTAACAACAGCAGATAGAGGTCTTGAGGGAGGAGGGAGTCCAGTCTGGAAGCGGTTAAAGAGCAAGAAGAACACAGGATGTAGGAGAAAAAGAGCAATCACTTGAGAGAGTTGCATGGAAAGAGTCATGGGGCTTTGTTTAGAACAAGAAAATGAAGGCAATGTTAAGAATTTAGGATCTAAGAATTTTGCTGATAGCAGACTGCGAGTTCCAGGGGCACAACGGAAGGGTTTGATGGAAAAGGAGTAGGTGAGCAGGTTCATTAAGGGATGCACTAAGCCATGTGGGGGCGATAGTCCTGGCACCCAAAAATTATCCGGAAGCCTTTGGCTTCTGCTGGTGACTAACAGATGTGAGACATAGTGGAGCTTATGACTAACAGACGTTAGTTCGAAATAGTCCAGATGAGGGCGAGGGAATGAATTTGAGCTTGTCTTCACACTTTTGTAAATAGAGGACAAGCAGTCCTATCTATTCTATCTAGTGACAGGATTTTATTAGGGCTAACTGGTAATCGTCTCAAGAAACAGTAGGTCCTGGTGGCTAATTGTCATTAAAGAGAGTAACATTGTATTTAGAAAACATTTTTCAATAATTAAATGAACATAATACATTTTGTAGTGAATTCATTCTGAGAGGTCCATCCAAATACAGAGCTGCTCAGTATCAGATGTGAGGTAGGAGTTACAATGCAGTGATCAATATTTTACACGATAATGGTGTGTGTGTGTGATTGTTGGTGCACAGGTGGGACACTATATATCATATATATGACACTATATATCATATATCACAGAAATCTATCCTTTCCGCTAAGTTACTAAGACTTTGAGCAGATTTTTAAGTCCCTTTTTCAGGACTGTATTAGCCCTATATGCAAATTCTTCCAGTTCTCCTGCATGCTATCCCTCTCCCTGGGCGACAGTACAAGTTGACAACAAATATCCGTTTTGCATCTTGTACATCTGGTATCTCAACCAAATGCAACCTTTAAGAATCAACAACAGTGAAAAATGGCCATGCAGGCGCTTGTCACAGAATTCAGCCAGAAACAAACTGCAATCTTGCTGTTCTCAAAAGCCCTCTTGAGAAATCTGGTATTTGAGAGAGACAGCTTAAGGGACAAATTAACATTTAGCATTTCATTTAGTTCCTACTGGTTTCCTCATACTAGTCCCTTTACAGAAGAAACCGCCTCTTGAACAATGTTATCACATCTACTTACAGGCCAGGCTCCACTGTACTCAAATGTAGGGTTATTCTCCTGTGAGAAGTATTGCTACTCTTTGCAAAAGCAGAAGCAGAAACAAAAACACTTTCGATTTATATTCTTTTTCAATAGAAAATTATACTATATTTAAGTTTTGTTATGCTGGTGGCGCTGTGGTAAAGCATTTAGCTGCTAACCGAAAGATCGTTAGTTCGAATCCACCAGCCACTCCTTGGAAACTCTATGGGGCAGATCTACTCTGTCCTGTAGAGTCTCCATGAGTCAGAATAGACTCAACAGCAACGGGTTTGGTTTTTGTTTTTATGTTAATTTAACTTTTAGCCATGTTTAATTTTACAAACACTCTCAAATTTTTTTTTTTTGGAAATGATACAGATCTTAAATTATGGTACTGCAATTATGGTGTACAGTGTCCAAAAAAAAATCTGTCTTGTTTACCAAACTGGTAACATATGTAAAATCCAATTACATTTGACATGTTTGTAATAAATCCATCCTGGCTCCTAGTGATTTCCAATTCTTTTCAGTGTTACAAACCATCTATTTAACAATCAAGAATTTTGCCAAAGAATGACATGAAGGTTAACAATTTGTGGTTTAAAGAATGTCTCCTTTTTTTTTCCTTTTTGAAATGGAATAATTTATGTGACATCAGACTTATGAGATATAATTGATCTGCTCTCATATCTGCATTTGATACAACTTTTCTAAATCTAAATTTTCTGTACAAGCAATTTCCCCTTAAGCCTTTCAGGGGAGCTACTAATTATTGAGACCCTAGTATAATTTAAGTGTTTTACATAAGCTAGCTCACTGTATTTGATTTTCACAACACAGGAGATACACATTATTATTCCCACTTAGCAGATAGGGAAACAAACTGACACCAAGAAATGTTAAATTACTTCTCTAAATTACTTGTATGATATGAAGTATTGTTTACTCTCAAGAACAAGAACTAGCATGGTATGTCAGAGGAGGCACTTAAAATATTTGCTGAATAAATAAATCTGCTTATATTGCTCTCTAAGGAATGCTAAGGTGCAGTGGTTAAGTGCTCAGTTGCTAGCCTTAAAGGCTGGTGGTTCGAACCCAGTAGCCACTCCACAGGAGAAAGATGTGACAGTCTGCCTCTGTAAAGATTTACAGCCTTGGAAACCCTATGGGGCAGTTCTACTCTGTCCTACAGGGTTGCTATGAGTCGGAATCAACTTGATGGCAGTGGGTTTTGGTACGTTGCTCTATGAACAAATACATCCAACCAAGTAATTCAAGAAAAAAAAAAAAAGAACTTTTTATACCAGTTAATTCCATATTTCAGTAAAAAACAAATTGAGTTTTTGAGACTCAGTCACTCTCCCATAGCTAGATAAGTCCATTTCACTTGATATCAGGCTATCACAGGGATGGTCGTACTACTAATTTCATTCAACAAGGAAAATGGAATTGTGGAAATAGCTTTCTAAATACAAGAGTGAGTGAATTTCTAAGAGAATACAAATGTACTCTCTAACTTTAAGAAGATACTCACTTTAACTAGAACATAGATAATTTTTCTGACCCTGCTGGTTGTATTACATAAACTTTTGCTGTTAACATCAATGACAGAAATAAGGGGTGAGAATAATTCTGCTAAGACCTAGATAACAATATCTGCTCTATCCATATGGGCTGTGTCAACTGAACAGACCACATGAAACTGGCTTCTTCATAGCCATAATAAAGTCTGTTCCAACCACTGTCTCAAGATTTTCATAAGGATCAAATGTGAAAATTTTTGATAAAATGTCTTGAAATTGTAACACATTGAATAAGCAAGAGACTAACCATTATTATCATTCAGTTGTTTGTCTTTTTAGAACAATGGAAACTATAATTTTAAGTAATGGAAGCTATTCACTTGAGGGTTTCCATTCGATCATGAAAAACAACTATACTGAGAAATGTTTTAATACTGAACTCAGTTTGGTATTTTAGAGATGTTTAATCTTTCTTTGCTTTTATCTTATTTCAGAAATGTTCAACCAGAACTGAAATCACTTGCAGTGGGTTTCCATGCACTGACTATACGATCCCTAGGTACAATAAATACAAAGATTATAACTTCATGATATAAATACTCATGCCAAAGCTCTAAGACTGAATGTAATTAATTTCCAATTAGAAGCAAGTTAAAAAAAAAAAAAAGGTACACATAACAAGCATTTCTATTTATGTGATAAATGAAAAACAATAAAAAAAGAAGAAAATTGAGTGACATAAAAGAGAATTTGATTATTAATGTCAAAGTCAATCTGTTAAGACAAAGGGATCATCATAATCTGTATTACTCTTTTTCTAATATAAAGATAAGTGGTCCCTAAAGTTTTTCTACATTCAGACTTAGAGATATTTCTTCCAGTAGGCAGAGTGAAGGCCTTCTGTGCTGTTGGAGGTAAGTCCCAAAGCAGCTGGTGAGGACTGGCAATTTGATCAGATAGAGATTTTGCAAACGAGCAGAAGTTGACTTTAACTGCCCCACTTCCAGCTGCCTAGATCTCTAAGACTGGAGCAGCTAACCTTTATCCGAAGTAAAAAATGCAAAAGGATGAGAAATCAGACTCCAGAACTGAGCATCTTGGGTTAAGGCAGTGTTCTGAATGAAAACAAGCTCAGAAATTGTGTTTTTTGTTGGCAAATGACTCCAGAGACTAAAGGCCTATTTTAAAATATTTATACGAGAGATTTAAGAAATAATCCTTTCTCTCTTATTGCCATTTGTATTTTTACCTTACAGGTTTCTATCGTTGTTAGCAGTTTAATAACTTCTAATATAACCCCTGTTAGTGTCCTTTTGTAAGACCTATGAAAATTATATGCCTATTCCTAGAAAGTAGAAAAAGGGCACCATTCATTATGATTCATAGAGATCAGGGCAGATCAGTGATCATGGCCCTGAGCAACCACAGATGGCAGAAGGGAAGGGAAGTGTAAGGGTTCAATCCATAATGCACTTGGAAGCAAATGAAAGCAGCATAACTGAGTGGAAAAATTACAATGGAAAAGTCATCTAAGAAGTACGTTTGGGGAGAAGACCACAGATCCTCAAAAGCAAAAAGGAAAGAGCAAGGAGGAAATATACAAGGAAATGGGAGAGAAGAACATGGAGTCTCTGTAGTGTTTCATTACAGTTTTCTTCCCAGGATTCTCTTCTGTGCTTCTCTAATCTCGGCTTCTGTCCTCCTTGGCAGTTCCATATCTCCAGATCCAATGACAACACTTCACTCTTACAGTTTAGGCCACAGAGCTGGCAGATGAAAATAGAATATGGGTAGTTAGTACTCCTCTTGATATGCTGAAATGAGGCTTTAAGAATAGAGAGAAAATTGCCCTAGCTACCTAAAATAAGAAAAAAGAATTTTGTCATCCTAATTGTTTGCATCCTAATTTGATGTGTCCAAAATATATCCTAATAGAATCTAATTGCTTCTATTAAAAAATACATATTGAGGACCAAACTTACAATTTACAAATGATCTTCTTGAGAACAATACGTGTGTAAATTGTAGAAGGTCTACATGCAGTATAAAACTGAAAAAAGTACTTGGAAAACAGTTTAGTAGAAGTCTTAAAATTCCAGTAATGATTAAGACAAGTTTGTTACATGAAACAGTTATTTTATTAAGTTTGGTCAATCAGCTTGTCATTGTATGAGGAAGATAAATTTTGGTACTTATTTTTCATTTTTCAAAGCACGGCTATGATTTGTGACAAACTCAATTTCTTATCCATCAAATCAGTACCAGTTTTCTTCAAATATTGACCTCAAATACCATCTATCTGTCAGTCTAAGGCTCTAAGGCTTCTCACAGAAAATTGAGAGACTGATTAAAAGTAAATGGGATGAGTAAAATTGTGAAATATGGATTACTACCATTTCCGTAACAAAATAAAATTTGAAAATCATTCATCAAAGTACAAAAAAGAACAAAGTAAAATTGTAAATACTTCAGCTCTACCATCTGAAGTATAGATCTCTACTAGCATGTTCCCCAAAATTTTTGTCAAATTATCTACGCTTGAATAAGGAATCAATCTCAGAGTTTATTAACATAACAATAAGAGCAGACAGGTCCTTCTTTTCTAACATATGTTTTCCTGAAAAGCCTTGCATTCTGCTGTATTATACACTAAAAATAAAAATCAGGTTAGGGACAGACCAGTGAAAACCTATGGGGCATTGTGACCAGAACACAAATAGAGAAAAAATTTGGCAGCATAGGCCATCACCTGGGTAGTCTAGGCTGCCTCAGAAGATATTAGAATGCACAAATTTAATAGTGAGAAAAAATCGAATTGTGGGCTTGAATGACACCAAGAAGATGGAAGTAGAGAAAGTATAAATTGCCAGGAGCCTAGCACTCTGTGAAGCTGGGCCTGTGTTTCTCTGAGGAGCGAGTCCCAGTGCAGATACTCATTTTTTAATCTTCTTAAAATAGAGCTGAAAAAAACTCCTGCCTTTGCAGCAATTGAACTCAGAGCTTTTTCCTTTCCTAGTGAAGCTGTAACTCTACTCTCACAATACCAGCTGTCTTGCCTAAGAAAAACTACTTATGAACCAACATAACTTCCACTTTTATTGACATCGTCATTCTTATTACTAATCACACATAAATTAATTCATATTATAGAAGACTGTACTGCCATACAACATTCTTTCTTCCTTTTGTGCATTGGGTGGCGGGAGGGTGGGAGAAATTAGATAAAAAATGTCTATGATATTACTATATGATTTGAGCCTTTGAGATTGCTAATAATTTTGATTCTTGGGTAGATTTAGTCCATGGCAATGTAAGAGTCCTACAAATTTTTTTAACTTTTACTTAATCCACTAACCTCATTATTTTTTTGACTATCTATTCTCCAAAAATTTAATCGTGGGTAAGATAACTGCTATATAATTGGCAAGAGTCTCTGGGTGGTGGAAATGGTTGCTGGGCTGCTAACCAAGTGATCTACTTCCAAAAAATCAACCACTGAAAACTCTATGGAACACAGTTCTGCTCTGACACACATGGGGTCACCATGGGTTAGAATCAACTACATGGCAGCTGGGTATAATTGGCTAATGATCAGATCTAAGTGAGTAATTTACAAAAAAATGTGACCATGACACAAATTGTACTGGAGCAGGCCTTTGTACAGGGGATTAACAGTTAGGTAAAAGCCATTTTCAAGTAATTTAAACATAGCTGAAGCTATTTCCCATAGCTTCATTCTTAGAAGGCAATATGTTCAAAAAACGAATCAATCTTTAGTACGGGAAAGACTGCACTGCCAATAAAATTTCAGTGGCCGTTGATACTTTTATCGCTAAGTAATTGCTATTGATGAATTTCTAGAAAACAAAAATCCATTCACTTCTTAAATATATCAATGTGTAATATTACCCAGTTAATTCTGAAATGTCTGCCTTGGTTTGGGATGACATCTTCTCATCTAATGTTGCAGGAGGAATTCTAGCTCCTATATATTTTGGGGCTTTTATTGATAGAACATGTTTGAAGTGGTCCATCGACAGTTGTGGGAAGCAAGGATCTTGTAGGATGTATAATTCCACATTATTTGGGTAAGTTATATAAATATATTTCATTAATTTATCTATTCATTTGACTATAGATTACTAAAGAATGAAATGTCATTTTCACTATAATAGTAATATTAGTAGTAATAGACACTATTTAATTAGCATTTGGTTTGAATTCGGTACTGTGTCAGGCAATCTTGTATCTCCTTTTAATACTCATAGGAACTGTAGGAGATGGATAGTTTTCTCCTTTTTCAAGGAGAATTAGTAACTTCCCCCCAAGTCATACTAAAAACAAACAACAAGGTAACTAATAGCAAAAGTTAATAACAAGAAGAGTTTGGATTTGTACTAAAATATTTTTTTCCCAAAAAATAAAACAAAAACTCTCATTAAAAAAAAAAAAAATAGAACTATATTCAATGACCTCTGAATTCTCTAGGAAGACATAGAGTGAACTTTTGGGGTTCTGGTCATTAGTCCATGGGAGGAGAAAGGAAAAAAGATGGTTTCTATAATCTTCTCTTCCTATGGAAAGATATTCTATAAATGGTATAAGGACCACTGGATGGAAAAAAATGAATTGCAATGATTGCAGATTAGTTAAATATATAAATTTAAAATATGAATCCACAATGTATTAGAAGAAACCATGGAGGAATTTCTTTTAATTATCTGGGAAGTAGGTTAGTGTGTCTAAGTATGAGCAAATCCCATAACTATAATAGGAAAAAACTGATAAATAAAAAATTTTAAACTATGCATCACAAAACTTACCTTATGCAAAGTTAAAAGACAAAAAACAAAGGAAAAATAATTTGCAACCAAAAAGACAAAGGGCAAATGTCCTAAAATAAAGAGCTTTTAAAAACCTACAAGAAATCATCTAACATTTCTCAAAGAAAAAGAAACACTAATGGGTAATAAACACAAAAAGATTCTCAACTTCACTGATGATAACAGAATTGCAAATTAAAACTCTACTAAGAATAGTTTACCTTTGTTGTATAACTACTGGAAATAACCCAAGCATGAGTAAAATGCATGTGAAGGCTTAGTTTATATTTCTTTTATTATATTTGATACAGCAAAATATGCAGTTGCAATTTTAGTAAAATTCAACTTAAATAGCTCAAAATTATACACCCACTCTTCACTTATCAACATGGTTAAGTTTCAAAGACCAGGTCATTATGCAAAAATCGACGTTATGTGAAAATGAAGGATGACCACATCTATCATAAAATGGAGGTTGACTACATCATTACAAAACTGCCCAATTTCATCATTACATAACTGCCAAACCACTGAGAATCATGGCCCAGCCAAGCTGACAGATAACCATCACAGGCAGTGTTACTCTCTCCTTGCACCTCAGCATTTGTTACTGCCAGATATACATCTTTAATGTGCGAAATAGTCAGATAGTAGATTTTTTACTATTGTAGTAAATGCAAAATGTCAGACAATGAAATAGTTGATAAGTTAGGGGTAGGTGTAATAAATTCTATTCAATCTCGATTAAAACTAATAATTTTTCAAAATATTTTTTGGCTGAAGCTTGGCAATATTTAGTTAACTATGCCATGGAGCCAGTAATTAGCTTTTCCTGGCCTACTATGGAGCCCGGGTGATGCAGTGGTTAAGAGCTTGGCTGCTAACCAAAAGGTCAGCAGTTCAAATCTACCAGCTGCTCCTTGGAAACCCTACGGGGTAATTCTACTCTGTCCTATAGGTTCTCTATGAATCAGAATTGACTCAATGGCAACTGGTTTGATTTGGCAATGGCCTGCTATATCTTAGTCATCACTCTTTACTTACCATTGTGATTACCTGAAAAACTTTATAAAAAACTGATTTCTGTACCCTACTTTAGAGATTCTGACTCAATGGGTTAGAGATGTAGCCTGGACACGGGCGGAGGGGGGGGGGATTCAAATCTCCTCAGGTGATTTTAATGAGCAACCGAAGTTGAGAATCACAGTAATAGACTGTGTGTGCTAGTTAAGTTTATGTCGTTATTGTTAAAAACTTGCAATAGGCCACACAGCAGGGCCAGGTGGACCGAATTTAGCCTGTAGCTAAATACTGGGTCTCTAGTTCAATCAAAATTGATTCAGTTGGATTATCTCACAGTCAATATACTTCCGTTACGGATTGTTCCCATTATGGATGAACTAATCTGTCTTTGAGAAAGTAAAATATTACAAACAACAAACACACTCTTACTTTATAAAAATCACTTGGGTAGATCATCAACCGCCCTTTGTTTCTATGGCTTAATAATTCTTTTAAAATTATCAAACACTCACTGTAATTGCTGTCTTAATATTTTTACATATAATTTCAAACAACTTTTGTTTTCTTTTGAGGCCTTCTGCATATTAGAGAACAACATTGTAAGTTGTTCCACATAATTTAAAATGAATATCTGTTCTTTTTTCTCTCTCTCTCTTTTCACAGAGCCTATTACTTTGGCATAATTTTCATCTTAAAAGCCTCATCACTTATTTTATTTATTATATTCATATATGCCATGAAGAAAAAATATCAAAGAAAAGATACCAAGACATCAGAAAATGTAAAAAAAGTTGTAAATGAAGCAAACTTAGAGCCCTTAAAAAATAATGGACATTTTGTATCTTCTGCTGGAGAAGACGGTGAAACATGTATTTAAGGGGAGAAAAAAATGTCATTTGTTTACAACCAACATTGTATTGATTCAGTAGGATGTTATTTTTCAGCAGAAATTCCTGATCCTTTCACTGAGAATTCCCACACTCTTATGATGGAACAATGAATCAGCCTGCTTATGAATTTACAATGAAACAAACTATAAATGAAAAAGAATGAGGATCCTCCTTGTTGTGGTATGGCTATGCATTTGTGATTACAATTACAATATATGATCCACAAAAAATTTAAAATGAGCAGCATGGTTAGTATATAATAGAAGAAAAAGTATTTTGTTCAGGTAAATATAACCATTAATAAGACCAGTGACTAGAAATTGAGATAGAGATATATATATATATCATATATATATATATATCATATATATGTCATATATATATATATATATTTAACCAGTTTAGACCATGTTACTTAAGTCTGAAATCTAACCTAATGGAGGATTTATGCTACCATGACATCTGTCATTCATGTATTAAGTCATATATTCCACAAACTTTATTAATTTCTAATTTAAAATAGTGCTTGGCTAGCAACCCCTAGTGTATCTTCTTCTACTATCTCATTAAAATATAGGTGAAGAACAGAAATAATTGGAAACTTGCCAACTAAGGTTGTCAGACAACATATTACAGAATGTGTTAAGTTTCCATTGGGCCCATTGGGATGAATTAAGGAAAACTGACTTTGACTTGCAAGTCAAGTCTTATTTTGTCTTTTTTTTCAAAGTCTTGAAAGTCAAAGTCCACTTAAACATGTGCCTTTATTCCCTCTATCTGTTCCCTAGGAAAAGTAGAGTTTGTGTCAGATGATTTATTGTCTGCCTCCCTATTGCACGGTGTTTGTTTTGTTTTGGGGGGGAGGGGAGAAGGGAGGCAGTTTTGTGAGGGTTTTTTATTGCACAAAGATATGTCATTCACTTTGCTACACTTCCATTCCCTGTCCCCAATTCCTTCAAAATAGTAAAGCAAGAATTAATGTGAATGAGAGCAAGTATTTGAATAACGAATTTTCTAGGGGCAGCAGCTCGATTGTAGTGAATGCTGGAGATTGTAGTTGTAGTTTTTCATTTCAATTGGTTAAAAGCAGATTGTGTGTGTGTGTGTGTTTTGCATCAGAATCATCTGGGAAACTTTGTTTTTAAGAAATGCTATCATAGACCACACTCCTGAGATTCTGATTCAATACATTGGTGACGGAGTCTGAACACCTTAAAAAAAAAAAAAAGAAAGAAAACAAAAACTCCACATGTGCTGCTAGAGTCCTTGATACAAAAATATAGATAACCAAGCTGCAGGATAGGAAAAGTCATATTTGAATATAGCAATCTCGCATAGCATAAGTGCTTGCTAGAAACTTGGAATTGGCCCAGAAGTTATATGTCTTAACCTGT